CATCATTGTTCTTCAGTACTTTTATTGCAATCTCTTACAGCAGACTTTCCCAGTGCACTGTGTCTTTTCATTTCCTGGCTGCTGGTGCCAAGAGTGTTGATTGTGGAGCCAAGCAAACTAAAGTTGTTTACATTCGCAGTCTCTTCACCATCCTTCACAATGGTGCCAATTGGCCCAGTGGGAAGAATCTTTACTTTCTTGATACTTAGGTTCAATCCATATTGAAGGCTGTATTCCTGTTCCTTTTGCAGTAAGCACTTCAGGTCCTCCTCAGTTTTCAACAAGCAGGGTTGTGTCATCTGCATAACGCAGATTGTTGATAAGTCTTCTTCCAATCCTGATGCCACATTTCTCCTCATAGAGCCCAATCTCCTGGATAACCTGTTCTGCATATAGATTGAAAAGGTATGAAGATAAGAAATGCCCCTAGTGTATACCCTTCCCAATTTTGAACCATGAATTGTTTTCCTTACTCTGTTCTGACAAGTGTTCTGGGATTCCCATTCTTCTTAGAGTTACTTGAAGTTTGTTGTGGTCCACACAGTCAAATGCCTTTGCATAGTCAATGAAATACAGATAGACATTCCTCTGGTATTCTCTGCTTTCAGCTAAGATCCATCTAACTTTAGCTATAGTATCCATAGTACCACACCCTCTTCTAAACCTAGTCTGCACTTTTGGCAGTTCTCTGTTGATGTGCTTTTCCAGTCGATTTTGGATAATGTTTAGCAGATTCTTGCTTGCATGTGATATTAATTATCTTGTTCAAGAATTTCCACACTCCTTCAGAGCACCTTTTTTTTGAATGGGAACAAATATAGATCTCTTTGAGTCAGTTGACCAGGTGGTTTGTCCTCCAGATTTCTTGGCACAACTTGGTGAGCACATCTAGGGCAGCATCTGTTTGTTGAACTGTATACTATCTATTCCTGGGACCTTGTTTTTTGCCAATTTCTACAGAGCAGCTTGAACTTCTTCCTGCATCACCACAGGCTCTTGCTCATTTGTTTCATGAAATTCTTCTGTGTCCGCCAATTCCTTTTAATACAGTGACTCCCTATACTCTTTTTATCTTACCAGTGGCAAAGACTTTATTTTCTTGATATTGAGATATAATGTGTGTGGAAGTCTCCAGTCTTTGGTCTTCTGCAGCAAGCAAATTTTAAAGTCTTGAGATTATGTAACCATTTAAAATTTAAATTATTTTTAAATTTGAAAATACTTTGAAAATGATTTTGGAATATGAAGAAATAATTAACTAGAAATATTATTAAGAAAGACAAATCAGTAAAATAGAATGGATAATCCAGTAAAAAATCAAATGTGTAAGTGAACCTAATTTATACAACAATAGCTATATTTAAATGTCAAGCAGAAGATGGACTTTTTAGGAAAGAAGTGGTGTTAAAGCAACTAACCTTGTGATGGGAGGATAATGTTGACTTTGTTTCCATCCTGGATACAGTGCAACCAGAGTAACAATAATGGCAAGCTTCCTCTCATACTTTGAATATGCGGTTAGGAGAGGCCATTTGTAGGAAATGAACATTATGTATAGAAAGGTGGAAGGTCAAGAGAAGAGGGAAAGACTCTCAACGAGATGCTTCAGTGACTGAAGCAACAGATTCCAGAATATCAGAGATAGGGATGACATAGGATAGAACAGAGTTCAGATCTGTTGTTCATAAGATCACTATGAGTTGTACTTGATGGCATGTTACAACCACCAACACTGTATCAAGATATGGTTAGATATAACAGAGGTAAATGTGAAAAAATGAAACACAGATACTGTAGATTCAATGGAAGAGCTTGCTATTATGTAAAAGTCCACAAAAGAAAATATTTGTAACATTTTCTGCATTTGGAAAATAATAGAAACTTCATGTAACAACAACAACAACAACAAAAAAGTCCAAAATACCATAATCAAAGAAGCAAATGAAGAAAGAGGAAATGTAATTATAGCCCATTTAGGCCCAGGGATAAAGAATTTTTGGAAACCAACAATCAAAAAGACATCCTAATCCTAAAAAATGACAAAAGATATGAAAACCATTTTGTAAAAAAGCGACTTACAGATAGCTTTTAAGAAATGGGTATATTTTATGCTCAGCTATAAATTAAAACTACTGAGATGCAGGGTTTTAGATTTCCAGGAATGATTAGATTTATGCCATTCTATGACATCTACATGTATCTAGAGCATCAACTGACTTGACCTCTTTGAAAGGAAATAACAGGTTATGTTCATATGTAATTTCATAACAGCTATTATATGAACATATGCACTCTGAAGTTGTAGGGAGCTTTGTTGGTGTAGTCTGTTGGGACTTAAATTGGTAACACAGAGGTGGTATCTTTCCGGTGGTTCTTATCCACCAGTGGCTTCTTGGAAGAAAGATGGTATTTCTCCTCCTGTGCATTTTCTAACTTCAGAGCACCCACTGGATGGCCAGCTATAAGATGGTTCTGACTCAGTGGCAGTGAGTTTAATATTTTTGATTGAGCTAATAGTTTGACTTTTAGAAATACTTATTATAAATATATGTATGAAATAATGCATAGGATTGTTAATCTTAAGGTAAAATAATAAGCATAATTAGTGTATGTTAGTAGAATATCTTAGAAAGTTATGATGTCTTCATATCATGGAATGTTAAGTAGCAGCAGATAAGAATGGGGAAATTTTTAATTTCTCACATGGAAAGAACTCTCAAATCTATTGTTAAATGAAAAAGCTGCCTTTAGAAAGATACATGTAATGTAGTACTCTGTGTTTAAAAGGTCAGGGAAAATAATAGTCATATTTGCCTGTATATGGATTTTAAAAAATCTCTCCAAAATCACATAAACTCTCAGAGATATTCATTATGTGTTCTTGTGTATACACTGTATAAGAAAGAAATGATGTGGTTAGTCTGGGGAGAGGTTGTGATGTGACTGATGCTGGATGTGTATCTTAACACCTGTATATCAAGATGCATTGATTTTGTTAGCACCGGGCACTTGGTAGCCATTCATAGAAAAACATGCTTAAGATTAGGTAAATAGAAAAACCTTCATAATATTGGTTCATCCCCTATGGAAGGTGGTTTGGCTATTTCTCAAAAAGTTGGAAATATTTTGGACTAGCACTTCTTGAACACATGCTTCTGGAAACTCTCTGAACTTGGTGAAATGATGACAGTTATGGAAAGTTGCTATGAGTCATGCTTGACTTCACGGCAATCATCAACAACAGCACTTAGAAGCTGGATCCCAGTTTGTCACTTATGAATGTTATGATTTTGGACTTTACTCCCAGGTCTCTTGATTTTTGTGTATGGTGTGAGTATGTATTTGAGTTTTGTAAATAAACTAGTAGGGGGAAAAAAGGTTGGAAATACAAATATCATTAGATCCAACAATTGCATGGCTGGGAATATACCCTAAATATTCCAGAGCCACCTTCCAAACAGCTGTATTCATATCTATGTTTATTGCTGCATTATTTACAAAAACAAAGAAATGGAAACAACGCAACATTAACAAATAGAAAAACTATGGTATATTCACACAATGGAATACTATACAGCATTGAAAAATAATGGATTTGTAAAACATTACACAGCATAGATGACTCTGGAGGAAATTATGCTGAGTGAAATGTCTCAGTCTGAAAAGGACAAATAATGCATAACACCACTTTTATGAAGCAAGACTGACATAGAGGGTCAGAAGGAGGATAAGAATATAGTGAATAATGACCAGTGTATTGGATCAGATGAGGGAGAGAACTATTTACAAGTAATATATGATTAGGCATTATATGAAAGACAACAGCCCAGAATTAAGAGGTACATTGCAAAGAGGACTGGGGGAGGCAAGGGAGGAAATTGTGAAACAATGAATACATATGTTTTTTAACAAAAAAAGAAAATTAACTGAGGGGAGGAAATGTAAAATTCCATTTATCTATAAACTTTCTTTAAACTCAGAATTAAAATAAAATTTTCTTTCAAAGAACAAAAAAATAGGTAAGGTTGAAGAATATCTTTCTTAAAAAGCTCTACATACCAAACTTTTCATTAAATTCAGTTATGTTTTTTCTCTAGTTTTAGCTTCCACTTTTTTGTCCTTTTTGATAATTATATATTAGTATTAAAAATACTTGATTTTTGTTTTGATAATCTTGTGATTTTGTTTCAAATAAATATTTTATTGCTTTTTAAAACAGTGATAGTACCTGATAGTTATACCTCTTAATGCTTTTTCCATTTACCAGTAAGTGGTTCTAAAATGTTTAATTATTAAAAATGTAAATTAAGTGGAAAAAAACACAAAACAATACATTCATTCATCTTCCTTTACTATAAATAGATATGTGTATACAAATACACATAGATATTTAGTAATGTATACTTGTAAGTATTATATATGTGTACTAGAGATTTCTGTAGTAAAATATATACTTTAATGTGTCATCTGTGTGTGTGTATACACATATATACAAAAATATATTTTGAAGGGAATAGACCATTGTATTTACTTCTTAGTGATAGGATTTCAGATGATTAAAATATATTTTCTTTTTATATTTTTTAATTTTGTCACCTTTTTCATCAATTATATATTACATTGATAGTAAGTATTTTAATATCTTTTTAAAGATTTTTACTGAAGCTGTCTTTTTCCTTCATGCAAAGAGTTTTTCAGCTTATATCTTTAATGGATACCGGCTTGCCTCAGTGTTCTAATGAGAAAATAGAACTTGCAATTCTGTGGTTCTTGGATCAGTTTCGTAAAACATATGTTGGTGATCAACTTCAAAGAACCTCAAAGGTAGGTTTTTAATAGAGGTTAAAAAAAGAAAATAAATTTTATTGGAGATGAAGGAAAATATGCACATTTAATATCCTTAAGCTGAATGATGTATTTTGGAAATTTTTATATAAGAAATTTAATATGATCAGTTAAAATCAGTTGATAGAATGATACTGAAGGTGATGTGAAATTTTATGCCTGTGCTTATCATTTTCGTTAAGGATTAATTGGAGGAGAGGTATTTATATGAATAGTCATTAAAGAATTAAGATTCATTTAAACACCTTACTGCATTTGTTTACTTATCCCTTTGTTTTTCATGATGGAGAACATAAGATTTATATCTTAAGTAGTCATGAGTGCTTTTTGTTTGCTCATTATTTGTCTATTTTACATAATAAATGGAAATAACTAGTAGAACTAGATACATCATTCAGAGGCTACAGTTAAATCACCTTATTTTAGATAATAATCCTTGTGTAATGGAGAACTTTACACCACTGGCAAGCTTACATTAATTGATCTTGAAGCACCATGAGGGTTTATTGAGAACGTTTGTGTGAGTTATAAGCAGATAGTAGCACTTGCAATTCTGAATAAGCTCTAGAAGAGATTTTTTTCCTTCTTCCTGCATTAGTGTTTCCAAAACCTTCTCTGATAAGAAGTCCTAAGTAAGGACAAACATACCTTGTTTGGATTTGAAGTTTGGTTTAGGATTGTTGAAATATTTTTTACTTGAAAATTCTAAGTGAAGCTTTTCATGACATGAATTGATCTTTTACCTAGAAATTTTAACTTTATTTTTAATTCATTTACAGCTTTTTTATTATAATTGTATACTATTATCAAAATGCTTTTATTTTCCTAAGAATTTTTATTTTATTGTAGATTACTTTTTTACTCTTTAATAAAGTAATAGTTTGATGCTTCCTTTGTCAAATGTATTGTGATACATAATTGAAATTTAGAATTAGTATAAATAAAACTTTCCTAGAATTTAGCTTCCAATAAGTAAGGATATTGGAAAAAAAATTTAGTTAGAAATAAATTTTTGAGGTTATAAGTACATTAGTATCAGATAGAATGTTAATGGCATGAAATTCATGTAGGTTGCCCCTTTAAATCCTGTGTTACTCAAAGGTTAGGTATAAATGAATTATGATAAATTGCTTTGTTTTAAATGTACCCAAAGTGTTTGTTATTTTGCTTTTACAAAAGTTGATAACAATGCTAATTCAATACATATTTGGTCTGGATCTTAAATCAGAGTACTATAATATTAAATTTAAAAAAACCCTTCAAATTATTTTGTTTATCATCGTTGGAAAGAGATGCAAAATAAGATGAGTTTAAGGATATTGGATTTGGAAATTCTTTTTCATAATTTTTTAGAAATGCATAACTATTCTTTTTTACATATAAAATTTTTATTTTATACTGGTTTACTTACAAAGTCGGTATACATTGTTTTTCACACCAGATATTTCCTCTTTGTTTGAGATAACTTTAACTTGTAAGAGATTTGTGGTAAAGAAGTGCATTATGGGAGATGAGTTTTTCACTTTTTTTTTTAGTTAGCTTATATATTTATCAAAATCATTTTCTGACTGGTCTTGATTATTTTATTATAACTGTTGGTTTTTGGTGTGTTCATCTTAACTATTGCAAAGGAAATTCAGTCCTAAGTTAACTTTATTTCTATAGAATTTGTATAACATAGCAGCAAATCAAGCTAAATCTTCCCATCTTTTATTTCTCTGGCTAGTCTGCTCATTTACCTTAAAAGAAACCGTTTTGTGTGTGTTTGGTGATTGAGTCTTTATTATAGTGTCCAGCATTCTTCTAGGAACTTTTCACTCTTACAACAAGTCAGAAAAATTGATATTTCCAGTTTACAGATAAAAGAACAGAGTAGCTAACATATTTAGAAAGTAATCTGTCTTTGTGGCAAGGAAAAAAAAAAACCAACCCAAAACCAACAACCAAACTGAAACGAAGGAAAACTAAATTAATTTTTATTTTCATGAGTGTATTGTGACATTCCAACTTGGGACTAAAAAGAAAGAGCAAATTTGATATTCATACATAAATAAAGTTTTACTTAGTGACTATCAAGTTTAACAGTTAGCATTCATTTTGTACCTGGAACTGTGCTAAATACTAAGTATTATTTAATTGTCTCATATAGAACATGACCTATAAGGTTCTTCCCATTCTGTTTTTTAGCATATGTTCCTGTCTCATTGTTCCATACTTTGTACTCCACGCTTTATGTATACTTAAGTATTTATACTTTGTTGGACAGTTTGTTCTCTATCAAGTCTAGATGTGTAAACTGTTCTCTTTGTGCAGGAATCTGTTTTTCCCTAAATCCTGCTAACCCCTTTCTGCCTTATTCTGCTACCATACTTATCTTTGATATTAGACATCCTGTCTTCTATGACACTCTTCTTGATCTTCAAAGTTTGGAGAGATTTCTTTTTCTTCTATTCTGTAGTATCCTTATGCTTTCTATTTTGCCATTTATTACATTACACTCTGCTCATTTATTACCAAAATAAGTATAGCCTGTACTTCTGATTGAGCTCCTTCTATGGTGTTTATTACCACCTCCACGTGCAAGCCATACTGCTTTTTTTGTGTATCTGCTAGATAACTCTTGAATGAATGTACGTTCTGTAGATATTGGGCCTAGCTCTCATGTATAGTATTTTCTGGTAATGAAACATTTGCTCTTGAGTCTGAAAATGGTGTTGACTTGAATGAAATGTTTATCAGTTTTGAATAAAAATTACATTATTACACAGGTTGGGGGGAAACCCCTGTATCCACAACAGAATGTAATTTATAGAAATTCGTTCTCAAGGACAAAGATGAAAATACTGAAAAGCCCTTCTATGGAATAGAAGTATGTCCTAGCAGTAAGAAAGAAAAATAGCAATGAGATATTTATCTACTGCTAACATTGCACATACTTTCTTACACCAATTTATAGGACAGAGGTGGTGGTGTTGTGTGGTGACCTATAGCTGATCCTCTGGTGAGTTTTGAGAGGTTATTCACACAGGAGAAGATTACCCATCTTTCTGCCATGGAGCAGATAGTGAATTTGAACCATATGCCTTTGTGATTGCAATACTGCTTCTTACAAGTAGGCTGCTGATATTTTTCTACATTGGAACAGTGAGTGTGTTTGAACCTTCACCTTTTCAGCTAGTAGCCAAATGCTTTAACCTGTATGTCACCAGGTCTCCATTAAATGTCAAAGCAAGGGATTGTCTGTATGACATAAGGAAAGTGGGAGGTTGATTTTTTGTTTTGTTTTGTTTTTTAATAATGCATAAAAAGCTCTAAATCCAAAATTTGGCTCAGAGGAGTTACAGGATTCTTTCAATCCTCAAGCAAGCAAAATCTTTTAACTGTGGCCAGTTCTAGCTGTGTGTGTGTGTGTGTGTGTGTGTCTGTGTGTGTGTCTGTGTGTGTGTCTGTGTGTGTGTACGTGTGTGTACACACAGCTGTTGATGCAAGAGCCTATGTCGGGAGTTTAGGTAAATAGAGACTGGCAGATACTAATGTAAAGGCGAGAAAAACCAACTTTTAAATTAACACCACAGGTAACCATATAATACTACCAGGAAGAAATTACAGCTGATAAATTGATTTACTGGTGAGGATGTGAAAGAGCGATTGTTAGGTACTGTTCTATTTTGACTCGTAGTGACCTTACAGACAGCCGATGGATCGAAATCTTGCCCAGTCCTATGCCATCCTCCCAGTCTAAGTGTAAGGTCCTTTTTCAAGTGCCATCCTTTTGCAATCAAGTCTAAAGCATGTGAGATGAAGCCTCACCATGTTTGCTTCTAATAATTGCCCTGAAAGTACTTTTTCCAAGACATCTATATTTCTAGTAGAATCTAAATTGGGGAGAAAAAAAACCCCACATTAAAAAATGATTGTTTTCTAGAATAATTTCTTTTTCTAGACCCAGAAAAAGTTAAAATGCATATACTCTTTGACTCCAAAATACAAATTTTAACAGTATAGCTCTTATAAGTTCATATTTGTATATGTTGACATATTTAAAAATATTTTCGCATTTGGTTGAGAAATTAAAATTTGTTATAATATCATCTACAATAGTATAAGGGGAGAAAATAACCATAAAATGTATAGGAGTTAATCTAATGGAAGATGTGTAAGGAAATATTATTGAAATAATTTTGAGGAACAAAACCAAAATTGGAATATTTAGATTATCAGACGTCAAGACATGATAATTAAGACAGTGTGGCAGTAGTGCAAGATGGACAGTTACGCCAGTGGAATAAAGTAGGACGTTTACAAACAAACATCTATAAAAGTCGCGTGGTGCTGCATTATAGCAAAAGGTCTTTTTTAAAAAAAATTATTATTAGTTTCAATGAAAATTTACAGAGACTGGGTTTCCGTTCATTCATTTTTGCACTTTTCTCCCCTACCAACCCTCCCCCCTAGAAATTCTTTCATTGCTTTACAAACCCTCCTGCAGGTCCACTCCATTATGCAACCTTCGCTCTGGACTTCTGTCATGACAAAAATACCTAATCACATATCCCTTTTAAACAGTTTTCTCCCTCATCCATTTCAATGCAGAGTAGATATTGAATGCATCTTTCTCCGTCTCCCCTAGCCCCGATATCAATCCTATTTTACAGTAGTGGCACCATGCAGTATTTGTCCTTTTGTGACTGAGATATTTCACTCAGCATCATGTCCTCCAGGGTCACCCATTTTGAATAATATTGCATGAGTTCCTTGTATTTCAATGCAGCGTAGTATTCCATTGTGTGAATATACCACAGCTTCTCTGTCCATTCATTTGTTGATGGGCACTTAGGTTGTTTCCAGCTCTTTGCTATTGTGAACAAAGCCAAAATAAACATGGGTATGCATATATCTGCTTGGATGCCAGTTATGGTCTCTTTGGGGTATATTCCCAGTAGTGGAATTGCTGGGTCAAATCATATCTCTATTTGGAA